TGCTGATGAAACCTGCTTCCCTGGTTTCAATACAAATGACGTTCTAAAATGTCTCCAGTCGCTGAACACTTCTTGTAGCTTAGATGCAGATGGTTTACCTAGTGCTATTCTTAGAAAGTGTGCAGATATCCTGCGTCATCCTCTCAAAAATGAATCCTTTTCCAGAAATGTCGTGCCAGCCGTTTGTAACGACATCGAAATTGTACCCATACAAGAGTCATCTACTGGAACATGTTTTAAATTTATGCGGATTACTATTACCTCTCCTTTGCTTAAATCTATGAAAAAGTTACTCCTACTCAATCTCCGAACCTCACTTAAAGCCTTTGATGACATCAAACCATCCACCTATAAACACTGTGGAAGTACTCTAGATGCAGCTGCAGTCTTGCTTCACAACATTGTCTCCAGTTTAGACAAGGGGACTGAATTTGTTCGCTGCACCATCCTAGATTACACATCTACTTTCGAATTAGTTAGTATCTAGGGTCATTTTGTTAGAAGCTTACTTAAACTCAAACTGACTGTTGGATTGTCAAATGGCTTAGTTCTTATTTCTCAGGAGGAATGCAGTACACTGTAGGTCAGGGAAAGTCGTCCATTTCATTGCTTACTGAGGCTGGTGTCTCTCAACGCGTTGTCATTTCTCCTTTTCTGTTTTCTTTCTCATTGCATGACTTGCCTCACTCTGATGACGGAGTGAACTTTGTTAAGTATGCCGACGATCTAACTATTTCCATGTCTGTTAACTCCCAGCCAGACTGTACTAAGATGAACAGTTTTCTTTCAAGAGTAAGCAAATGGTCTTTGTGTAATGGTCGGACTTAAACTAAATCCTTCCAAATGTCATACTGTTAATTTCAGTTTCCGATGCAAAAGAAAGTTCAATGAAGCCTTAATTTTCTAAGACCGTTGCGAAATTGATGACAGTGATATAGAAATCAAGTCTGAAGTAAAGTTTCTTGGAATAATTCTTTCTTCTAACCAATCCTGGTCTTCCCATGTCTTACCGATTTCTAAAAGAATATTTCGTCTGACTCTTAACATTGAGAAGTTAAGGCACTCAGGCATAACCTAACCTTTCCTGTTAAAGTTTGTCAACTCGTGCATCTTACCTATTCTTCTTTACTGCTCACTCTTATTCCTGCTTGGATTGCTTAAACTAGACTGTGTCATACTTCGTAGAATTCTGAAGACTATCAGTAGGGCGGGTGGTATCCCGTAAGGCAATATCGTTGAAATTGTCAGTGATAGGCACTTAATTTCATGCGACAGATTTGCTAAAGGAATTTTTTCAGACTGTGAGCAGCTCCAACCTTGTGTCTCCTCAGGTAAAACAACAAGTATTTTCATAAGATTTTGTGCACGTACGTCTAAGTATAAATATTCCACTATTCCATATTTGGCACTTACTTTATGTGATGAAAATAGTGTTAGACATGAACTAACTAACCTTCTTTGGACTATTAAATAAACCATTTATTCCATCCTTACAACATCAACCTTTACTGTTATTGTTGTTCTTATATTTATAATCCTCTCAATTTTGTGTTTTTTATTTGTTTTTATTTTTTCATAAATGTGAACATCATTTAAGCTGTGTTATAACTGTTAATTTTGTATTTCCCCTCACCACACTGTATCAACAGAACATTAGATTCAATACTCGATAACATGCGAAAATCTCCAAACTGAATCGGCAATGCTGTTTCAAGCAAATTCACTGTTATTTTTATTATTATTATATTTAGTATTCTCATTTCGTACATCGAATATTTTTGACGTAAATCTGAAAAATTCCTCTAGTTAATTTTGTTTTAATTTTAAATTCTCTTTGTATTTTGAGTCAATCGGATACAATATTTTGAGAAATACTAAGAATTCCATTCTGTATTGTAACTACCGTTTTCGGAATAAAGCAGATTATTATTATTAGCCTGTGTTACATACATACAAAGAATCACATGAAAAATCTATACACAATACGATAATTGCGACAAAAGTTATTTCATGTGGAGTGGAATCAGAATGGACTTTGATTCCTCAATATGCAAAATTGCGCCAATAATGAATCAAAGAATCGAAGTATATATGCAAAAATAGTTGTGAATATTCTCGAACGCACGAAAATTCTCAGCTAAGAGCTAAGTGAATTTCAGTAATATATAACTTGTTTGTTGCACACATAAGAAGGAGTACTCATGTGATGATTTTTATTCTGACTTTGATCATATCCAGTGTACTTTAATCGATAAACGCAAATGAAAAATGAATATTCTAGTTCAGTAGTTAATGAAATTAGTTATTTTGAAAAAAGACGGTTTGTGTTCGTATTACAGAAAACGAATATCAGTGTGAATGTTTGTGCAAGTAATGGCACACTTCATATGAGAAAGAGAAACGATGATTAACATATCGTCATCAATGGGAACAAGAAATCACAAAAATGAGAATAAAACTGAAGATGACTACAGAGTGACATCGTCATATTCAACTGTCTATCAATAAAGATAAACTAGAAGAAGCATTTTACAAATTATCCGTGTATGTTGTTTCTTTGAAAAACAATGCTCAATTACTTTCGAGTAGGCCGAACAAGTTGATCGTACAAAGCCAGATGATGAACGCTGTGGTAAATTCTTCGGCAATGCAATCAATCCACCAAGTGATGTCGTCGTCATTATTGACATAGGTGAACAATAACTACAAAGTAGAGAAAGAGAAAGATTATTGACAGAGATGAGTGAATACAGGCGATCATCTCAACTGTACATCAATTCATATTTCACCGTAGTAAATTAATTATAATAATCTAGCCAATGTGATAGGATTGTTTTCATATGATGAAATATAGACACCTGAATCAATAAAGAATTCTCTACACATTCACTGTGGGCTTTCAGATCATACATCAGCAGATGTCTGCGTATTGTCAAAATCGTAGAGAGAATTCGGCTCACACCTTGAAGATGATTCCAGTTCCAGAATGACAAGTCGATTGTGTGATTATTCATTTTATGATTTGACTGCACTGCCTGAAAACTAGAATGACTTAGTCTGTATCAGTTGAAAATATTATGACCTCATCATCCATCGTTGAGGATCATGACGATGAATTCTAATGAAGTTCTTTCTTGTCAAATAGAATCATAATCTGAATTCCGGAGCTGGTATTCTCTGTCCTACTGTTGGATGGAAAACATCAACGGGCGAGTCAATAGAGATGTCCAAAACGCGTCCGTCAACATGTGAATATCACTTCAGTTCAAAATCTGCTTCATTTGATTTCTCACCAGTCTGTTTTAGATGTCTTTTCATTCAACTGTGTGAATGAAGTAGACTGTCGGTTGTCTTACTCTGCATCATGTTGAGTCAATTTATCGAGACCACAGTTTGATCATTCCTTCGAAATGCTTCCGGTATACAGTAAGTTTATTTTACTGAATTGTCTGAATGAAGGAGATCGTCAAAATTCTTATCGTGTGTCATGTAGGATCAACTACTCGTGAGGTCCAGTTCATTGATTCTTTCAAGATGTCCCTCAGTATACCCTTCCTGTTAACGGAACAGGTGGATTTACGTTTCCACATTTACGAGTTTCTAAGAGACAACTTGTCTCAGCTTTCGGGTCCTTTCTCATGCGCAAGTAGTAAAACCACGCAGTCATTGTTACATCGCCAATAAGTGAAACAATGAAAATGATGTGTGATGTGAATCACAGGGATGGTCACTTTGACGAGGTATTCGTGGGTGTAGACGCCTTCAAATTAAACCACAAATGACATCCATTCAGTCAAAATTAAGTTAGCCTACATCCTCAAAATTTCTTGTATGGCTTATAATATGACACTGACTACAATTGAAAGCATGACATAGACACCAACTCGTCGTGATCGAATTTTCGACACGAATGCGAATAGAAGGAACGCAAGCAAAACGACTTCTCTGAAATGAATTCACAAACAGCAACAATTCGTTTCATGATTCCGAGTTTACTTCTTATACAGCAAAAACTACTTCTATTTCCATGCGATTATCAAAGCTATTTGTCACCCGTCACCTCCTTGAAACACAGACGATAGTAAATTTCAAGTCATTAGGTAATAATCTCCCTACTCGCTATCTCTAACTCTCGGTCACTCTTTCCAACCAAATAATGTTAATATTGGATATTCCGATTGATCCATGAAAGTGCAATTGTCCCACTTCTGAAAATGAAATCACCCAAACGATATCTCCACTTAGCCTCAAGCTTTTCCTTTCCAATTTCATCACGAAGTACTCAGATTATGACAAGTCCATGAGACAGAGGAATTCGATTCAAAGTTGTTTTCATAGTTTTGTTGGGATCATTCAATAAACCAGATACACTGTTAACCCATACTATGTGTTCGGAATGAAATAATTACTATAAGTCACTGTCGGCCATTTGAGTGTTTGAGAAATTCGAGAATATCTACGGTTGTTTTCACCGTATTATTCATTTTAATCAATTAAGCCAGACAAAATAAGACACCTACTGGATTCAACTCAGATGATGTTTTCTGTGAATCTGATAACGGCTTCGCAATTAAATGAACAAGCTCAAGGAAGAGAATTACGTGGAGAAGCCTCTAAATGAACCAGGAATCAACTCCATTATTTCGACACAAATTGCTTCTTCCATTTGAAATACGTGTCGTTCTTCGGTCAATAGCCTTCTCAAATGAAGTAATTAGTATATGCCTCCTGACTGAATTCTCAGATAACTAAATGTGCTTACTGTTACAATGTGTTACATACATACTTGCATACAAACAACCACATGAGAACAACATACATAATAAGACGATTATGTGAAAAAAGTCATTTTGTGTGAAGTGGAATCACATTTAGAGTGAGAATGGACTATGATCCTTCAATATGTAAAAATGCGTCAATAATCATCAAAGAAGTCGGAATATATACAAGTATATATATAAATGAGAAAATACGTGAGAATATTCTCGAACGCACGAAAATTCGAAGCTCGGAGGTACAAGAAGTAAGTGAATTTCAGTTATATCTCATCTCTCATTTGCTGTCTGTTTGTTTGACTTATTACTAAGTTTGCTCAAATATGAATAGTAAGGTGACGATTTTAGTCTGACTTTGATCATGTTCGAGATATTTCACCTGAGTGTGAATATAGGAAGAACGCTCAATCAAATTTAATTGGATTTTATGGATCTGATCAATGTAAAATGTGAGGGTGTGATGACTAGATGTCTAATAAACTCAGAATTCTGTGAGGTGTGATAGAGCAAACTGATGTTCGCATTTATCCTCCTCAGTCTTGTAGCAAGGTGTCATCGTCTGATACTTGTATGCATATATTGACTCTGTATATATGGCCAAATGAAACCAGTTTTCATCTCTGATGATGCAGAAGAGAAACTGCAGTAGGCTGTTTCCTCAAAGTTGATATCGTGTATGAGAAAGACAAATGAGATTTTCTCCAACCCACTCAATTTCTTAGAGCACACTCTTCCATACGATCACTGACTCCATCTCATCAACATTCGCAAACAGGTGTATTTCTCAAGTGTTACGGAACCTGAATTATGTTCAAATAATCTGACAGTCATATCCACACCATATTTTCGGTTGGCATATTTGGAAAGTCTAATCTATGTGTCCATTTTCATCATGTATATTCTGAGGTGATTAAGTTACTTCTGCGCCGTTGTCGTCTATCATTTTCTTCGTAAATTTCAGCTCATTGGAAAATGCCACGGTTTTATGCATCGTATGGGAATTCTGATTATACCACCGAGAGGTTACAGCGAATCCCTTTCCCTGACAACATTTGGGTAAGATGAAAATGGATTGATGAGTGAGTAATTTTATTCTTAGATCACAATATATACAGTTATTATGATAATGGTGACAGCTGGTGTTGTCCTCTTATTTACTTTCGTGTAAGAACAGATAAAATTTCCCAATGAAATATTATCTTGGTTGTAGGGACGTGATTTGGAAATTCTTCAAAAAGAATTCTTGGGTATATTTTATTATTATGTAAGTTCTCTGTTCAACATTATTTATCGAATGTTCGATTGAATTCATCACACCTTGACAAGTGGAATTCATTTGTGATACAGAGCAGTAATCCACTTCACAGCACACTCGATAACTAAATTAGTATTTACTGTATTGTCAAGAAGTGACAGTCTTAATTTATATCAAGGCCTTAAGTTTTGAGAGAGTCTGGTGTTCATCTCTATTCAAATTATTGATTTCACATTTTGCTCCAAGGATATCAAAACAGTTGGTTCATAAAATAATCACTGGAATGAATTTTCCAGAGTAGAGTATTTGTAGAATCACGATCACAGAAAATCTGTCTCCAGCAATAGTGGACATCAGAATAATTAATGTCGTACAATAAGAATCACACTAAAATTTCGGCATGAAAATTATTCATATGGTGACATGATGCAAACCATTTGTCAAGATTTTTTTCGATAATTTCGCTGAAACTTCTGATCAGCTCATATTTTAACGTAAGAAAAAGTCATATTTGTAAAAATAATTATTGATACACAATTCAAACCTCTCGCTCGACAGATTGGAAATGATGGAAGGTAAATCGTCTAAGGTATAAATAATAGTGTGCATTTGGGTTGTCATATCTTTGACAAAATCAACACAAGCAATTCAGTGAAGAGTCACTTTTCAATGAATTGCTTTTCTTTGCTTGAACAGTCGCATTAAGAAAGATTCATCAGTAGTTTACTCACAGGGAACGACTAAACTGAACGTTAACAAATGGAAGAATCGTCACAAGATGGTTGGTAATATTAATGAGTGCATATAAGAAGTTGAATAAGGTCGACAGAAATACCTAGTGAGATAAGAAAAGTTACTATGTAAATTTTGATATGCATGCACATGGAAACAAAGGAAATACTATGTTCCATTCACGAACAACGACATCTTCTACAGACAAAATTATTGGATTTCAATGAGATCTCACTTGGGTTCGTTGCTAGCAGCCTGTTTCATGACAAGTCACAGGAATGGTCCACGTAAGTTAAATATTGATAGGTTTCCATTGTGTCCTAGATATGTGGATGACATTTTCATTAACCCTGATGATAGTCATGATCACAATTAGTAGTGTTACACATGTTCAACAGCTGTAATCCACCGACAAGGCTCACTGTTTCAGTAGATGAATCTTCACTGCCTTTTCATGAGGTTGAATTTACACGAAGAGCCTACGGGTCTTGAGGAAGATAGATCAATAAGAGAACCACATTGAGCGGCCAACTGATAAGTTTCTACAGCTGAATACCAAATGAACGTGAATTGAGGCAAAGTATTTCTCTAGCCACTCGCGTCACACTCATCTGTAGCTCAAATGCTCTGCAAGATGAATTAGACTTTTCAGAAAGAAATCTCTCAAAATGGACATACATCGAGTCTTATTGTCGAGAATGTCAAGCCAAAAATTCAAAAGCCTAACAAGTAATCCGTGCAAGAAATGAACGTTTTAGATGAACTTTGACTTTGTCGGTAGCCTAATTGGTGATGTTCTTAAGAGAGGAATTTCGGTTTCAGCAGGGAGAACTTTTTTCACAGAAACGCTAAGAGTGGTGTTCGTCAGTTAGCTACTCGTATGAAGGATCCTAAAGGACGAGATCTCACATCTGACCACTTCTACTTGCATACTTCAGTTCACCTGTTCTTGTGGAGCCAAATATATGCATCGTTCAACGCGAATCCTATTGTTTTCAGTTAAATATGTTTGATTACTTCATTCACTTGACCGTTTCTGACTCACTTCTCCTCCAGAACTCCTAGATAAAATGAAATTCTCTTTGTTTTTCTATATGCATCCTGAATAAAATAACCTGTTAAATTATATATCCCACCTTTTCATAAAGGTGACCTGCTGAAATCGATGGTCTACCAGAGTTTCCATCCACTGAAATGCCAAATTTCTACAGCATTTCTGATTGCTATGATCATGCAATTGTATCAGATGATCACTACGTGTACTCGCCCACATAGTGAGTTAGTTTTCAACGGAAGGTTGCTCATTTCACTGAGGAAATGAATGCACAAAAATGTACACAGTTGGTGTTCTCTTCCTATAGAACAACGCTATATCACACGACATACTTCAGATTATCACTTAACATGTAAATCCTGTAGGAAGATAAAATATTTCGGAAGGCCGAAAATTTCTGCACTCTGTTTTCGCATATTGTCTGAAATATAGACTTGTTATTATTGTATAATTCTACCTACTATATTCAACTTCTCATTTCCATTGAATACTAATGGCAACTGTGGATGTGTGTTGTGATTCTTCCCTTTGTCACTGTTCAGAACCTTGCTGAATTCTATTGTGCAGCTTAAGAAAGTCAATTCATCGAGAAGAGACTCTCCACTGAACTGCTTGTACTGATTTTGTCAGCGATATTAAGGCCCAGATGCACCTTATTATTTATAGTTTAGATGTTGTATCTTCCACTATTTCCAATCTGTCGACAGAGATATTGGAATTATTTGTCAATTATTATTTCTACAAATATGACTTTTTCGTACTTTGAGATATCAGCTGATCAGAAGTTTTAGCGAAATTATCGAATAAAATCTTGACAAATGGTTTGCATCATGTCACCATATGAATAATATTCATGACGAAACTTTAGTTGGATTCTTGACACATGATATTGATTATTGTGATGTCCACGACTACTGAGGACTTCTGTGTTACTAATGTTCTGTGAAACGGTTTCCAGATGTAGTGTACTCAATAAATGTCTTCTCAGTGTTTATATATTTGATCATTTGCTTTGATCTTAGTGAATCGTTGTCTCATCTTGATAACCACATCTGATTATGTTTAGAGATGCACTGGGAAGTTTTTGTATTTTATTTGACGGTCAGTAGAACTAGCCACACAGGACCAAGTTTATATATAAACAAGCATGGAGGAGGCCTCAGTTGTTAGTTTACACTTTCCACATTCGTCGGACTACTTACGACTGAACAGACGATCAACCTAAGTCAGTTTACAACCAATTTCAACCTTCTGTGGCTTACTTCGACTCCAGGTAATAGATGTTCAGCCAAGTGAATTCGGGTCTTAACTTCAGTCACTTTGGTGATAAACACATTCGCCGAATAATAATGACAATCATAATTAGGCCATCTGTCCAAATGCGAAGCATTCCAAGGATATTAAGTTTTCGTCTATCATCTGGTTGTCGTCCGACAAACCAGTTAAGATACATCAAATGATGCGAAAAGTGTTCCACATATTTGCAGAGCTCAACACTATTGGGTATGTTGTTCATCAGGCGAAGATTTTCATCTAGGACTCTACATTTAATGATTTCCAAAGGTGTTATCTACGTATCTCGGACGATCAGAGCATCTCACAATTGCAGCTGTTTTGAATGAGTGGATGCACAGATTGGTCAGTGAGGGAGATACTGGTTGGTCCATAATAATACTATCTGTTTCACGTATGATATCTCCTCTATTTTTGAACACTGTTTGATCTGAACACACTTCTAGTGAATTCATAATTTCTCCTATGCCGGAAAAACCATCGACCGCATAGCCCACTGTCTGAAAATGGTGAATGACGAAGACTTGGAAATATTTCATCTCATTCAACATAAATTGGTGCAGTTCTGCTCTCAGATTCATACATATTCTGTACTCAATATACGGCTTGCATTTCATATACATTCGGTATTCAAGGAGTGTATGTTAAGGGGTTGTGTTTTAGAGAGTTAGTAGGTTATGAAGATAGACGTTATGGATGATCTTGTTTGTAAATATTTTGAAATTCATAAAATCCCCTCAGATGGAAACATTTTGGTGCAGGTTATCTCTGCAGTGACACTTCGATTTCTTCGTTTAACAACTTGGACATTTTGCTTGTTTCAGCTTTTACTCCTTGCAAACTGGCCCTTCCCTCTGTCTGGTCGTCTGTTTCACAGAGTTCAGTGCTACGGTTTTCCGTGAATATTTTCTCACCCTGATGAGGTTGAAATAATTTATCTGAGTTCTGTTTTGTTTTCAGCGACTAATATCCAGTCAAATATTCATCATAGTTTGTATAGAATACTAAACAATTCAGTTGCAATTTTGTCATTTGTGTTACTCCTTCCTCATAAGAACAACTTCCCTTCTACTGATCATAAAATATTTTCGATTCCACCACAACCCCAATTAAAGTTGCTTTGTCTCATCTTAAGTTAAATTATCCTCATATCAAGGGCTTTTGAGAAGGGGAAAGTTTCAAATACAGCAGTCTCCTCTGACTTGCTTTCATTTTCCCATGTCATTTGTGAACCAAATTCGACGAGTTGTTTTCACTCATTTGTCGACTCAGGAAAGAGATTGAGCCAAGTACTGTGGAATTTATGTTTTCCGTTGCTTAGAAAACGGTGACGTTCACTACATCATTAAATCAGAGATTTCCGCCTACAATGAAAAAGAACGAGTGATTTCATGAAGCACCGTGCGAAGGAAGCGTCTGACGTCGCAACTGAAGAATGGCATCCACATACAGAGATCGTCACACTGAAAACCATTTCTGTTGTAAATGCAACTCATGAATATTCGATTATTATGAACTGTGATGCACTAACCAAAATAACGCACAATTCCGATTAACTATGTAATATCTGAAACGAATTGTTGATGTTTGTGAATTCATTTCAGAGGAGTCGGTCTCCTTGTGTTACTTCTCTTCGTATTCGTGTCGAGAATTCGATCACGACCAATTGGTGTCTATGTCGTGTTTTCAATTGTAGTAAGTGTCATTTTTGTAACCCTGCAAAAAATTGTGGGGATTTAGACTCACTTGTTTTTAACTTAAGGAATGTCGTTTGTGGTGCAATTTGAAAGTGTCTTCACCCACTACTACCTTGTCAAAGTGATCATCCCTGTGATTCACATTACACACCACTTTCATTATTTCACTTATTGGCGATGTGACAATGACTGCGTGGTTTCACTACTTGCGCATGAGAAAGGACCTGAAAGCTGAGAAAAGTTGTATCTTAGAAACTCGTATATGTGGAAACGTAAATCCACCTGTTGCTTCAGCAGGAAGTGTTTATTGAGAGACAGTTTGAAGATATGAATA